ATTGCCTCTTCTAGGGCCACTATGTTTGGCCTCATCTGACTGAACATTTCAGTGAGTGTATCTACTGAAAACGGCCTTTCGCTCTGTGCAACAATTTGAGTTTCTTCTTCATCTTGGACTACTCTGACAGGTCCATAATTCCCTTCGTACATGAACCTTTCCATTGAGTTTGCTTCTATGACAAAATGTCTATGATCCACCTGCACCACTTCTGCTTCACCCTTGTCATTCCAGAAAACCATGCATTGATGGAGCGATGAAGGTATGCAGCGGCTTCCGTGTATCCAATCCCTTCCTAATAACATATTGTAACTAGTAGGACCATCTATTACGAAAAAGACTGTGGTCCTAGTAGTTGTCCCTATAGTTATGTCCAATGACATAACTCCTTTAGCTGAAATTGCTCCTCCATTGAAACTTGTAAGGATGACTTCTGTTGGAATCATATCACTTTCCGTCTTTATAAATTTCCTCATCACCTTAGATGGAATGATGTTTATAGCTGCTCCATTATCGATAAGTACTTTCACCACAGGTATACCGTTAACTAAAGCCTTAACGTACAATGGCCTCAAGTGTTTAGTTAACTTCATGGTTGGTCTCTTAAAAATAACCTTTTCGGCAACATCTATTTCCATTTCCTGCTTGTTCTCTGTTGAATTATCCTTATGTGATAAGTCAACATGCAGTATGTCGCACTGAGCTTCCGCTTCCTGAATTTCCTTTTTATTGTTTTCTAATGCTTCTTCTTCGGTTACCCAACCTGTGGGAGGAGGCAATATTCTTGGACGTGACCCATACTTTTCAGAGTGAGGTACTCTCCTTTTTCTCTTGGGTGTCCCATACAACACATAATAATTGAAAGAACGCCCAGATAGTTCTCCCAACAAATCCACTTCACGAACACCTTCTTTATATAGTTACTTCAACAGGATATTGCGCGATACTCATCTCTTTCTTCTTTCTGCTTCCAGATTAATTTCTTCTTCGATGTCCATCATACCATCATCCTCTTCATCATTGTAGGCCCTTCTAGAAGTTTGGCCTTCTTCACATTCCAGTACACATGCTTCTTCTTCGTTATCCTCTATTTCTTCTTCTTCTTTCTCTTTGTTTTTGAACTCATTGGCTAGTAAATAGTTATTAGCCATGACAGGAGGTAACGTACTGAACTGAATAGTAAGGGGGCTGATCTGGATCTCCTTTATCCCTTCTGTCTCGCTCAAACTTTGATCTCCCAGAAGAACTCTCTGGCAATTCTTCCATCGATTCACCTGTACCAGTCTCTTCACTATCTTCGAGAACATTTTGATTGGATACCTTGAGTAGTTTAGGCACCTTAGGACGTGGCACTCCCTGTTGTTGCCTCATCATTCGTCCATAATTCCATTGAAAATGCTTTTATTGCGTTCTAGTCATCTCGTTAAAGGGTATCACCCTTCCTGCATTATACTGGAACGAATGCTATACATTTGGTTGGTGAGGTTGCAGCCTGAATGTTCTTCCATTATTTATTAACCTGAACTGCCTCTCAAAAGGCGGTCCCCTATAGAATGATGTACCTCACCCTCTAACAGGCTGAGCGTTTGGGAAAAAATTAGGGCGATGGTGATGCTGCCATATCCCTGGTTTCTCTGTATTTGCACTCACTCCTCCTTTACATTTTGCACACATGACGTTTTCATCCTTTTTAAGCTCCTTTCCTTTGATACGTTCAAAGACACTGGGGTGTGGCCCATGGTCCTCCTCTCTGTCGTCTATAACCAACTTGAATTTTGGCAACTTGTTTTTAAAACCAGTCGTCACCATGTTCACCCCAAGTGGCTGTGGAAAAGGGTTTTCATCCACTGCCATCTTCTTCTTATCCTCGAACGTAACTCGTCCCGATTCAATGGCGTCCTGTAACACATGGCGAAAAACTAAACAGTTGTTAGTCAAATGTGACCATACATTATGCCACTTACAATATTTTTTACCATTGATTTGTTCAGAGCTTGGCAACTTATGTTTATTGCTCAGCTTTATCTACTTATCCTTATATAGTTTATCAAATATAAGGTTAGCTTTGGTTACATCGAACGAGAACGTTCTAGCTTTTTCGTTTTCATCCTTTATAGGCTCATCCTTGCCCGATGATCTAGGCTTAGCCATTATATGACAAGTATACGCGTCTTCTTTGATTAATTCGGCCAAACCCATTTTGGTTTGATCGTAATACTCGTCATTAATGGTATGAACATTAAAATTTAGGTCTCTATAATAAGTCCCTTTACTAGAGTTTTTCATTTGCTCTTCTTCTCTTATTAATTGTTCATACTTAATCACGTTTGCCCTCAATTGGAAAAGATCAGGAAATTCCCCGTCTTGAAATTTCTTTTTCAAATCAAATCTTAAACAACTTTAAGCGATTTTGACAAACTCATTTTCAGGCAAAGGTACAAAACATTTACTTCTTGCTGTCTTGAACTTTTGAAGGAAACCTTCTGCCCATTCGTTTAGCATTTGACGTAAATTCGCCAAATCGACCAAAGTAACTTCAGACTCAGTCTTATAAAACTGAGCATCGAACAATTGCTCCAATTGTTGCCATGTTTGAACAGAATTCGCTGGCAAATTGATGAACCAGGATAAAGCTACTCTTGTTAATGAACTAGGGAACAACCTCATCTTATGGTAGTCGGTTACTTCACCGCTTTGCAGTGTGAATTGCCCTATGTGTTCTAGGGTAGACATGTCTCCTAAACCGGTAAATAATGAGAATTCTGGCACTTTATACCCTCTAGGCCATGGATATGCTTGGTCTACCCAATCAGGATATGACTTTGTGTAAGTCGACCTAATGACAGGACGTACCTCAAAAGCCATTTGATCTTGTACTATTTCCATAATTTGATTTCTCAACATGACGTTGGGGTCATATAGAATTCGTACAGGTTGGTTGATCGGTTGATTTGCCTGAGGCCTGATGTTTGGTCCTTGGTTGGCAACAAAGTTGCCATGATTTGGGCCATTGTTACCATTAGCCTAAATATTTATTCCATTATTAACACGTGGGGTATTCTGTCCATTATTTATGACATTTGTCTCTTACATTTAGGTTACCCCCAAGTTAGATGTACCATTTCCACTATTCTGATTTGACATTACATCATCCTCCTGGTTTGAAATAGACGAACCAAAAGGTGGTTCTATCCCTTGATTTGGACTTAGGATTGGGGAATTATGTCCTACAATTGTCCTAACTTGAAAGTGACTTGCAATAGGTACAACTGGCTGACAAATTTGGCCTATTAACTTATTCATTATTTCACTTATGTATTCAGTTGTTTGGTCATGTTGTCATAATGTGCATTCCCATTTTAGGTAAATCTTTCCATATTATGAACATTTTGTAGATTTACCCGTTCAACGACATTTTGTGTGATGGACTTAGGATTGGGGAATTATGTCCTACAATTGTCCTAACTTGAAAGTGACTTGCAATAGGTACAACTGGCTGACAAATTTGGCCTATTAACTTATTCATTATTTCACTTAATGTATTCAGTTGTTTGGTCATGTTGTCATAATGTGCATTCCCATTTTAGGTAAATCTTTCCATATTATGAACATTTTGTAGATTTACCCGTTCAACGACATTTTGTGTGAGTTCTCCTAGCAATGCACACATGGTTCGAGGACTCAACTCTGTCATTGGTTCGTAATGACTGTGATTGCTCTGACTCTGTCCCTCTGTTCGTGGAGAGCTTCGCTGCTCCTCATATCGCTCGATCACAGACTGGATTCCTCCCCGACTTGCTGCTTCCTTATCAGATTTGTGAGGCATATTGTTTTACTTTTTGTATCCTCAACACCAAACACCAAGGTCCCGCTGGGTGTGCCAAATTGTTTCGCGCGGGTAGTCGCTAACAATTAAAAAAAGGGATCAGACGATTGTGTAAAAAACGGACCTCTTGAGACAAAGTCCCAAAAAAGGGTATTTTATTGGCAATGATTTACAATTGAAAATAAACAGAATGCCTCCAAGAGGCGTAAGCACACGAGTACTAAAAGAAGTGTTTAAATTTAAGCTAAGAAATTAAAATTAAATATTATCTGTTTGAGAGTGTTTGATTCGGGGTCCTTTATTCTATATTCCCTTGATGACTTCCTCGTAACAAACCGTTTGATTGTTTTATAACTACCCACTTTCTTTATAGTGGTTAACTTGTCGTGAAACTGCCGTCTCTAACTGCTGCCATTACTCTTTGTCGTTCAACCGCCTTCAACTGGGCTCCTTGAATCGTGATGTGATAAAATTACTCAATAACTGCTATTCTGGAGAACCATAATATTTTATGTTTGCTAAAATCTTGGGTGATTCGAAGGTTTGGACGAGAACGGGGTCATTGCTCTGGGCGACCGTAAAGCACTCCATTCGCTCAGATTCTGGACGTCTTGCAAGTTTGGGTGATGGTGTTACTGTGTTCGTGGGCTTCCACTGTATTTATCAATAATCCTGTTTGGACCTTTATCCTAAACTCCCCAATTGGGCTTCACTTTTTGGGCTATTTGATTTGGACTGCACTTTTAATATGTCAACACATTTAATTAACTTGACAGTTTAATATGATCAATATGCCATGTCTAATTTCCATTGGATACATGATAGTTTTTATCAGTTGGGAGTAATGAATTTTACTCCAACGACGAGTGGATAATCATTAGAATAGATGAGTAAGTAATAGATAACATTTTTTTTTTTATTCAGTGATCAAGTAATATAAGATAGTAATAAGTAAGTTTAATGATCATACATTTAGTTTATGCTTGGTCCTAATTTTCAAAAAACTTATTTTTTTCCAAGTTTATTTTTAATTATATATTTTATGAAATTCACAATTTTTATCAATTTAACAATCATATATTTCATAAATTTTTTTTAGAATCTACTAAAAATTGGATTTTTACCCAATTGAAAACAAGGTTTAATTAACTCAATTAATTATTGGAGACGTCTTTTCATTTTTGCTGGAAAATAGCTGCAACCATGCACAAATGATGCTAGGAACTGGTTTTTTATCCAGCTCTGCTTGTACCGATCCGGATTACAGTTATAGCCCGATATTACATTCGGCGTCTTATCCGATGTTAAATCCTTGTAGACATCGTTGTCTCAAATACTCCCATACCTATTCTTCATTAAATTCCCCTTGTTCTTACCACCAGCCGTTCACTTCTCGATGGAATTTGGAATCTTTGCTCGGCCGATTCTTAATTCTCTTTTTTCTATTTTTACGGCCCCCTGCATTTCATTTTCACTTTTATATTTTCCACCAAAACACTAGGTGGCATTGGGTTGACAACAGAGCATTTTCCGAGGCTTAAAAGCAGTTATGCTTTGAAAATATTGAATATACCCTACAGGTGTTCGACGAAATTCCTGGCGTTTGGTGAAAGATGGAGGGTTCATTAAGGTACAGCAGGAGAAGTAGTGGATATGAGCCTTCGGATACCGAGACTGATTTTCCAAACAGTCCCAGGCGTGAGTGGGATACAAATGTAGAATTCCAAAATATGGGCAATGATCAAGGTAGGAGCACTAGCCCTCTGAGAACTCTTAAACTTGAGGCTCCTCCTCGAAGAAGGCATAGCAAGTCCCCATATAAATCACATGGAGAAGATGGTAATGCTCGTTTGGTCTTACATAATTCTGATTTACGCAGAAATATTAGTCCACTTCCACGTAGAACTCATTCTGTCGGTGGAAATGTTAGTCCATTTTCAAAATTTGAACGCAGGAAGAATCCTGATGATAGGGGAAATGTTAGTCCATTTACAAAATATGAAGGCAGAACCAATCCTGATGATAGAGGAAATCTTAGTCCATTTTCAAAATCGGAACACAGGATCAATCCTGATAATAGAGGAAATGTTGGCCCATTTTTTATATCTGAACGCAGGAGACATGTTTCTTCATACAAACGTGGCGAAGAGGATGGTGATTTGCACGATGATGAGACTGTCGCCCCTAATGGAAAACAAAGTCTTAAACTCGTTAATCATGATGTGAGGATGATTGAGAAATCCAATCATAGTAGGAGAGCAGTTTCTGCTCCTAGATCAAATTTGAGAGAGAAGGACCTAAGGATCAAGTATGAACACGATGAACAAAGAAAAGGGGATAGGACTTCCTCCCCCTTGCCTCAGAAGGAGATAGATGCTTCTCATAAATATGGTCCTTCAATTGGTGAAATTAATGAAATTGTTGCAAATGCCAAAATTTCAAAATGGTTGGATAGCCGTGCTCCTGCTTCCAACTTTGAGAGCACAGATTCCATCTCTCCTGGAGACATTTTCTTTTCGCGGGAATATACTGCCATTCCTAGTGTTGGCTTTCCGAGAAATGGTGGTGTTGATCGAAGAGGATTTCACCCAAAGCCTCAAGTTCTTGTTGATAGAAATGCCGGTTCTCATCTAGGCAACAAGTTGAATTTCAATCTCAACAACAATTCTCTCTTGGCATCACAAATGACTGCAAACTCTAGCGCTGCTGTAAGTAGACAGACCAGTCATATTAGCGACTCTATTGGCAGGACGAGTGTAAGTACAAAAAAATTCATTGCAAACAGGCGAAAGAGCCAAACAGAAGCATGGTTTTCTTGTCTCAAGAAAGGATCTTGCCGGACCAGCAATAAATCTCCAGAAAAAGACAGGCCTTTTGATGAGACTTCATTTATTGAGAAGGCAATTGTGATTGAGAACCTGAGACCATTTTGGGCTGATAAACATCAGCCTGCTTCATTGAATGGATTCACTTGCCACAAGAAAGAAGCTCTGCTTCTTCAGCAACTTGTAAGTGCCCTTTAAGTTCAGAATTAGATTCTGGCCTTCTATCTATAACAGAGTGAGTAATTATCGTGTAATTGCAGAGAAAATAATAATTTTTTGGTTAACTTGTATGTTGAATTCTAGAATTCACATTTGGTAATATTGTGGAGCACCAGAATCATTGCTTTTTTACGCTTCCTTTATTTTTCAGTGTTGTAAATTTTTTATATTTTCTTTTTCTTTTTGTTCTTAGGTGTGCAACGAAATCTTTTCACACATCTTACTGAAGGGGCCTCCAGGTGCGGGTAAAAAGGCACTTACTATGGCTTTTCTTCATGAAATATATGGAGACCCTGTTTGGAATGTATGTTTTTATTTATTTAATTATTATTCCCATATGTATAAAATATAGTCTTTTTGAATGTAATTATGGATGAAGCTTTACATCAATTTCTTTCTTTCAATTTGCAGATATCTCATGACTTAAGATACTTCCATATCCTGGTATGTCTGACGTTTGACATTATGTTCTCGTACTTCTATGCCCATGAACCATCTAAAAGAAATATATATCGAAATTCTTTGATAGACATGATCGATTTTATTCTATAGTTTTCTCTTTCATAATCCTGACTTGATAAAAAAATTCCAAATTGCTGCCAACAATCTAAAGATTTGCATCTATGGCTAGCACCTTTGAGCTGAATTCACTTTTTATCATGATTGAATTTTGAAACTAGATAGATCTACTTATGCAGGTCACTTCTTCAGATCGAAAACTCTTGGGACCATATTCTACAACTCGCATAATTTTGTCTTTTACTATATTTTTTTCATATCCTTTTTTCTATCTGCAACCTTGAAGCTTCATATTGATTTCCATGATTTGTTATCTCGTCATGTAATTCGCCAGTGATTGACAATGTTGAAAGACATTTTCAGTCATATTAAAGTTGTGGAGGGATTACTTTATAATCATATTCTTGAAGTTAGCCATGTTTGGACAGGAATAATATGGTTTAACATTGGGGAAACCACGAATCCATTGAGAGAAATAGATAGATCCATGGCAAATATCTATAGAAGTATATTTTAACAGTGTGTTAGGTATAAGTGTGGGAATCTTAGTAGATATTATTTAATTTACTTTCCAAATTAGATACTTATTTCCAGAAATGTAATTAGGATTTTTTTTTTAATAGATTTTCTAGTATTTTATTAATTGTTTACTTCTCAAATTGGATACTTATTTTAAGAAATATAATTAGATTTTTATTTAATAGATTTTTTTAGTGTTTTCCTACTAAAATTAGACTACTTTAAACCTTACATAAAGGAGCCTTCGCTCTGTAATAATTATGCTTTTATGTTGAATAAACTCATATTTTCTCCCTCTAAATTCTCTCCCTCTTCTTATCTTTCTCATGTCTCTTTTTCTTTCTTTCTCAATCTCGTTCTTGATCAATTGTGTTCTGCTTCAATAAGATATTTCATGCCTTCGGTTAGAATTGCTAAAAGGTTCTGGAAACTTTTGCCTAAAGTGACACAGATCCTCTTTGTATGAGAAGCTACACTTGATATTGTGATGACTAGGGGTGACTGGCTCATTTGGACACCCCTAGTGATGACAATTTGAGACTTTGGACATTATTAAAGGAAAATTTATTCTGCTTGAATTGATAGTTCTAAGAGAAATTATTAATATCAAGGAGGCTCATTCATNTTTGGACATTATTAAAGGAAAATTTATTCTGCTTGAATTGATAGTTCTAAGAGAAATTATTAATATCAAGGAGGCTCATTCATAGTTTTCACTCATACTAATGGAAACATCTACTTTAAGTTAAGGAATGAAGCATAATGTTAGTCAATAAATTGCCAGTTCTGGTAGTATAGTATCCTACCAAGATAGAGACATGGCACGTGCTAGCACTAATATTAACATTGCACAAGGAGAGTTGTATTGTTGGTACAATTGTATGGAAATATGAACCAAAAATAGAAAGAGAGAGATCAAGTATATTTAAGAATCTCAATCCTGGAAATAGAGTATCCCACTTTTATGTTCTGATGCTCGGACTCTTCGAAATGGTTGGAGTACTTGTGTCAGACAAGATACGACATGGATATAGGTATGAGATATGTGTTGGATCTTCCAAATTTCAACTGGATACTTAATTGTTTTCGCTTCTTTTTTCTTCTTTTTTTTCTTTTCCTTTTCTTTCCAACTGCTCTCTATAAACCTAGCACCGTCTCCGAGAGGGTGGAGAAAGGCAGGTTTTCCCTTCTTCTTCTTCTCATTCTTTCTTTTTTCTTTTCATTTTCTTCTTTTTTCCTTCTTTCTCTCTCTGTATTGGTGATTTAGGGTTTTGATTTTATAAAATGAAAATAGGTTCCATATAATGCTACTTAGTATTCCTGTAAGTTCAAATTACAATCAAGTCCCTCACTTTCTATTTTATATAACATTTAGTAATTAACTTCCCATAATTGAAAATTAAACCCCAAAATTCTATTTTATTCGTCTTAACCCCTCGTGCAATACTCATTTCCTTTTTTGTGAACAATTAATTTTGGTCTATTCAAAATGACATCTTAGGTTGATAAAAAAATTAAAGATCCAAAGATATGTACCCGTAGATGAGTCCGAGCATCATAGTTCTTATGTACTACCCAGGGCTAGAATTATGAAGAATGAACTTTGGAGCTTTAGGATTTCACGCTTGTAATGTACTACCCAGGGCTAGAATTATGAAGAATGAACTTTGGAGCTTTAGGATTTCACGCTTGTAATGTACTACCCAGGGCTAGAATTATGAAGAATGAACTTTGGAGTTTTAGGATTTCACGCTTGTACAAATCGCTTTCAATCCTTAAAATCTTGATATATGTATTGGCAATATAAACATACATTATTGTAGAATAAACTAATTTTGTATGAATTATCAGTCACTGTTGTCTTCCAAATAATTATACAGATACTTGTAACACAAGAATTTCATTTATTAGCCAGCACGACTAAACTACTAAACATAATAATTACATTTTCACCACATATCGACTTATAAAAGAGTTATAAATGAAAAAAGCTACATAGTAGGTCCGCTAGAGGATAAGGAATGTGTTCATCTTTTCCTCCTTTTTTTCACTTTCTTCTCTTAGAATTGTACTTTGTAATTCATCCGTATTGTTTATTTTTATTTTTTTTTCCTTTCTAGGCCTTTATTTGATACATGAGAGCAGATTCATAAGAAAGGCTAATCTTTCAGGTTTATGCTGTTTTTCTAAAGAGAAAAATGAATATTTATGTTGTTTAGAAGTTAGCCATGTTTGGACAGGAATAATATGGTTTAACATTGGGGAAACCACGAATCCATTGAGAGAAATAGATAGATCCATGGCAAATATCTATAGAAGTATATTTTAACAGTGTGTTAGGTATAAGTGTGGGAATCTTAGTAGATATTATTTAATTTACTTTCCAAATTAGATACTTATTTCCAGAAATGTAATTAGGATTTTTTTTTTAATAGATTTTCTAGTATTTTATTAATTGTTTACTTCTCAAATTGGATACTTATTTTAAGAAATATAATTAGATTTTTATTTAATAGATTTTTTCAGTGTTTTTCTACTAAAATGATTTTTTTAGTGTTTTCCTACTAAAATTAGACTACTTTAAACCTTACATAAAGGAGCCTTCGCTCTGTAATAATTATGCTTTTATGTTGAATAAACTCATATTTTCTCCCTCTAAATTCTCTCCCTCTTCTTATCTTTCTCATGTCTCTTTTTCTTTCTTTCTCAATCTCGTTCTTGATCAATTGTGTTCTGCTTCAATAAGATATTTCATGCCTTCGGTTAGAATTGCTAAAAGGTTCTGGAAACTTTTGCCTAAAGTGACACAGATCCTCTTTGTATGAGAAGCTACACTTGATATTGTGATGACTAGGGGTGACTGGCTCATTTGGACACCCCTAGTGATGACAATTTGAGACTTTGGACATTATTAAAGGAAAATTTATTCTGCTTGAATTGATAGTTCTAAGAGAAATTATTAATATCAAGGAGGCTCATTCATGGTTTTCACTCATACTAATGGAAACATCTACTTTAAGTTAAGGAATGAAGCATAATGTTAGTCAATAAATTGCCAGTTCTGGTAGTATAGTATCCTACCAAGATAGAGATATGGCACGTGCTAGCACTAATATTAACATTGCACAAGGAGAGTTGTATTGTTGGTACAATTGTATGGAAATATGAACCAAAAATAGAAAGAGAGAGATCAAGTATATTTAAGAATCTCAATCCTGGAAATAGAGTATCCCACTTTTATGTTCTGATGCTCGGACTCTTCGAAATGGTTGGAGTACTTGTGTCAGACAAGATACGACATGGATATAGGTATGAGATATGTGTTGGATCTTCCAAATTTCAACTGGATACTTAATTGTTTTCGCTTCTTTTTTCTTCTTTTTTTTTCTTTTCCTTTTCTTTCCAACTGCTCTCTATAAACCTAGCACCGTCTCCGAGAGGGTGGAGAAAGGCAGGTTTTCCCTTCTTCTTCTTCTCATTCTTTCTTTTTTCTTTTCATTTTCTTCTTTTTTCCTTCTTTCCCTCTCTGTATTGGTGATTTAGGGTTTTGATTTTATAAAATGAAAATAGGTTCCATATAATACTACTTAGTATTCCTGTAAGTTCAAATTACAATCAAGTCCCTCACTTTCTATTTTATATAACATTTAGTAATTAACTTCCCATAATTGAAAATTAAACCCCAAAATTCTATTTTATTCGTCTTAACCCCTCGTGCAATACTCATTTCCTTTTTTGTGAACAATTAATTTTGGTCTATTCAAAATGACATCTTAGGTTGATAAAAAAATTAAAGATCCAAAGATATGTACCCGTAGATGAGTCCGAGCATCATAGTTCTTATGTACTACCCAGGGCTAGAATTATGAAGAATGAACTTTGGAGCTTTAGGATTTCACGCTTGTAATGTACTACCCAGGGCTAGAATTATGAAGAATGAACTTTGGAGCTTTAGGATTTCACGCTTGTAATGTACTACCCAGGGCTAGAATTATGAAGAATGAACTTTGGAGTTTTAGGATTTCACGCTTGTACAAATCGCTTTCAATCCTTAAAATCTTGATATATGTATTGGCAATATAAACATACATTATTGTAGAATAAACTAATTTTGTATGAATTATCAGTCACTGTTGTCTTCCAAATAATTATACAGATACTTGTAACACAAGAATTTCATTTATTAGCCAGCACGACTAAACTACTAAACATAATAATTACATTTTCACCACATATCGACTTATAAAAGAGTTATAAATGAAAAAAGCTACATAGTAGGTCCGCTAGAGGATAAGGAATGTGTTCATCTTTTCCTCCTTTTTTTCACTTTCTTCTCTTAGAATTGTACTTTGTAATTCATCCGTATTGTTTATTTTTATTTTTTTTTCCTTTCTAGGCCTTTATTTGATACATGAGAGCAGATTCATAAGAAAGGCTAATCTTTCAGGTTTATGCTGTTTTTCTAAAGAGAAAAATGAATATTTATGTTGTTTAATTGATTTGTAATATCTAACTACTACATAAAAAGAAACTAACAACAAAACAAATAAAGTTAAAGTATTTGACACATTTAGTCTAGCATTATTTTGCATATTTGTATAGATAGGATCTATGTTGGTGAATAGGAAATATTATTTAGGTAGGCACATTTGATAAAAAGATTTTCAATCTATCCAAATCTTAATATTTTAACTTTTCATAGGAAATCTGTGAATCTCTTTTCAACCTTCCAATGAATTCTATTTCTGTACAAACTTTTTAGGTCCTGTTGCGAATCATTGTTTTGTTCTATTTTGATAGGAATCAAGGCCCACGCAAGTAATAGTTCCTGTAAGCTCAAGTGCTCACCATGCGGAGCTCAATGTTCACTTGGAGCCTAAATCTGCGTATGCACTAACTGCTTTAGTCAAGCAAATAAGCAGTGAATATGCAGTTCCCCCTGAAATTAGCACAGTTGGGATGAAGACAGATTATAAAGGTCCACTTGCACTATCACATAACTCTTATGAGACTTCCTATACACATTTTGTAAAGCTGACATTATATTAAATTCTTAACATTACAGTATTGGTTCTCTACGATGTTGACAAAGCAGCAGAGAACATACAGCACCTAGTAAAATGGATCATGGACTGTTATTCTGATTCTTGTAAACTTATCCTTTGCTGTGAAGATGATGTAGACATCCTTGAATCGGTAAAAATCCGCTGCAAAGTTATCAAGGTTGAAGCCCCTGTGACTCATGAAGTAAGTGTGCCAAGTAATCCTTCTTGTCCTTTCACATTTCAAAAGGAAAAGAAATAAAAAAAAAAAAAAGCCATGATGGTTCGTGTTTTTCTATTTAGCTTATCTTTATTTCGAATTTGTGATGTTTTGCAGGTAGGTTTTAGATCTTAACCCATGTACTTTTAAGCTTATCGATTCACAAATTCATGTAGGTGAATGAATTCTCACACATAACAACTGCAAACGCATATTCCCGAGCAAATGGATTATCTTTCTTTTTCTTTTTGGTCAATCCTTATGTGGTTTACATAAAGTCACCATTCGAAGCTTGTCGAACAATTCCTTCGGGGAGTGGAGGCCAATTCGAAAAGGGAACTTTATTATTGGTGTGCTTACTATGTAAGTTTTGTCCTACACTTCAACATATAGTAGAGGAGAAAGAACTAGAAATTTTTTTTGAGAGATGGAGAGAGGGAGGGGGTTGACTCGTTCGAATGTCATCTGCAGGATAAGAAACTCCCTACTGGAACAAGCGCCTTGCTAAAATTAGAAGGTACTTACAAGAACCACTCTGAGAAGCTATATTAATTACATTCAAGCCTCTTGCATGCGTTTGTGCTAACGACCAATGGCACATGCTTTTCATCGTGTGGATCATATTTCAATGGGAACTTAATGAATTGATAATCCTAAATGTCTTGCTTTTACATTTATATTGGAATCTAGCCTGACATAAAACATATAAAGAATTTGTTTGTGTTTTTTGTTAAATTTTTTTCATGGCTTGATAAATAATTTGATAAGTAATCTTTTTCCGTGTTTCATAATGGAGTTAACTAATGGAATTAATTATCAGTTTACAGCATTTATAGTCTTATCTTTTAAGTATTTGCAGAATTTATCAAAAATATTGAAGTTTAAGTTGGTTTAGAAACAGTGAGGCAGACTTCTGAAAGTTCGTACAAGTTATTGTAATAACACAATGAATACTACAAAACGTGCAATCTAAAATGCAGTTATTAAGAAATGAAGTCTTCACATATTAATAAAATTTATAATTCAATAATAATAATGACAAAAACAATAAAAAAAGTAGACTCGACTAACTCTGCATCTACACGCATTATGTGTCACTCACTTAAATTATTTTTTTGTTGGTCTAATTTGGAAATAAGTAAATACTCATTTGAAAATAACTCCTGCCTTGCTAATAACATTTTTCTACTTATAAGAAGTAAACAATCGAATTTTGTTTCGAAACAAAAGTTCACTCACAAGTAAGTTTGACTTGCTTTTAACTTAGCTAAACAGTGGGAATTCTTGAGAAACCTTCCTGTTGTAACTGCTGTGTTCAGGGTGACTCAAATATAAAGATATCAGCTGCTGTAATTAGGAGATGATGACATTCTGTTACACAGAATAGAGTACCAAGTTTTGGTTGGTGCTGTTATGAATCTAGCTGAACTAATAGGCTTGATTTTGTTGCCCTTTCATTGCTTTTTAACTGAAACAGAGAGAAAGCAATCTTGTGAAACTAATTTACCAGAAAAGACCAAATATTAGGGAACGACATATAGTTATACTGATAATATATTTTAAATTCTTTTTGTCCTATAATCTTATCCCGTGCAGATCTAGTTCTCTGGCTTACTGATGTTATCTAATGGTGTAGAATTCGTGGCCAAGTTTATGAGCGTATACAGAAAAAACTCCAGGAATCGTTGATCCACATGGCTGGAGGAACGTTGATGGATCATTTGTTTATCTTTATGACAGTTTTATGCCTGTCCATTGTTGAATGATTAAGAATCGAAGGATTTAGGACAGAATGCATAATATATTGTTTATTGAGAGCTGTGGTCATTTGATTTCTCATAAGTGGACGGGATCGTGACAAGTAATAAAGTAGTGGATAGAGCGTTGAACCTAGAAGGATTATGTATATGATTGAATTAAAATTAATTGCAACTTTAATTGAATAGCAAACTAGTTGTTGCAATTTTTCTAACTAATCCCTAAATTATTAATTAAACTAGTGAAAGCAAGTAAGGCCATGTTTGAGCCACATTTTTTCAAAAAATACATTCTTAAGTAGTGATTTGACATCATTTCAACAACACATTTTTCAATAAAATAATATTACACGCAAATCCAAAACTTTTTTTTTATTTCTTAGCCAAGTATTTCCCATTAATACACTATTTAAAAATGCATTCTAAGAAAAATAATGTTGCTCAAGCAAGGGCTAAATGTGTTTTTCAAATATGTGAGATGCATTGTTAAGATGTGGAATCCCTCTTGCTATTCCTTTTTTAGTGTAATAATTAAAATGACAATTTGAAATAATTCATGTTAATCAATATTCCTAATTTAATTAACCTTTCTATTTCTCGATGAGAGATGGAGATATGATAAATGTATTAACAATTGCTAGTACATCTATTGAAACCATATAAAGCATAGAAATATATCTCTACCATCTATCGAACCTTAAATGCTTATTAGATTGTGTTTAAATCCTATTGTCTATCTCGATAACAATAAAATTCACTAACAATTCAATTGGTGATCAAGCAATTGAAAAGAACGATAAAAGCGATAATAGATATCCACAAATAAATCAAATTAAAGTTATAATAATTAATTAAAAACTAAAAATATCATAACAAAGGTTCATTTCATCCCGGCAATGTATAAAATTATTCTAACATATCGAAATTACAAAAAATCATATTTAAATGAAAAGACTTAACCTGGATTTTTGATAAATTGAGGAGATGAAGATGAATTTTGAAATCTTGAATCTCAATGGTTTCTTCATGAATCTTCCCTTGTGCCTTCTCTTCTTTGTCCAAAAATTAAGTTTGAATCTTTACTTGATTAAATTCTTGCAAGCCCCTTCAATCCTTTCACAAAAACTATGATTTGTCCTCATTTGATGATAATAATTGATGATTATTGGAGTATAATAGGTATATGAGAGATATAGGAGATGTTATTTATATGTATTTTGTTGTTTGGTACTTGTAGAAGTCGAAAATTGGTTGAAAATCACGTTCAGATTGGTTTTCCAAAGAGTTCCAATCAAACAAGGAAAGTTACCTTTGCGCGCGAATTTTTTTGATTCTGCACAACAGTCAATATTTTGATCATAATTTTCTCCTCCAATTTCCGATTGAGGCAAAGTACATTGAAAAGATAACTTGAAGGGTTACAATTTTGTTAGACGTAGAATTCTTCCAATTCAGACATTTACTATGCCAAAAATGGGTCTTAATTTTCTATTAAAAATCTGGTAGATATCTTGTGTGATTGAAAATCGATTTATGGTAATATTCTGATCATATATCATTCTTTTTTAACTTCTAATAACATCCAATTAACTCCTAGCAATATCCAAAGTATTGTCTTGTGGTTTGAATCAACTATCGGATATTTACAATTTGGTCCTCAAACCTTGTACTTCGCCGTTTTTGCTTCTTTCTTTCAATTCCACTTCTAATCATTGAGTTTTATTAAATAAACTAAATATATAATAAATTAGGCTATAATTGCTCAAAGAACTATTAAATGTCGATATTTTTAGGTCCAAATAAGTGCATAAAATATACTTATCAAGTTGGATTGTTGAAATACTGAAAAAGGGTGGGATGTGTGTAGAAATTCTTGTACCTTGAAAGAAAAATTCTCTTAATCTATTGATGGATGCCCTTGTGAAGGGTCATTTCTTAAATTCATTCAAGTATGTAAAAAATTTTATTTTAAATCTTAATAAAATAAAATAGTTACTTGAAAAAAATAAAATAAAAAACTTATTTTATAAAAACATTACTTAAAAAAATAAAATAAAATAAAAACTATTTTAGAAAAAAAATCATTTTTGTTCTTTTATTTTTTTAATAATTTTTTATTTTATTATATTTTTAAAGTAATTTTTTTATTATTTTTTTAAAATTTATTTTATATATAATGCAATTTACCATTTTACTCCTTTTAAAATAAGTAAAAAGGGTGAAAGAAGTTGAATTGTTATAGTAATACGATACATGAAATTGAGTGATTATGATAAAATGTTTTATGAAATTAGATGATCTTGGTGAAATTAAATTAAATTGGGTGATCATGATGATATTAAATATAAAGTTAAATGATTATGATGATACTAAATATAAAGTTCAGTGATTATGATGACACTTAATACAAAATTGAGTAGCCATCAATGGATTTTACTTGTATTTGAAAGTTCATAAAAGTCATGAATTTCAAAATGAATATTAAATTTTTTTTGGAAAAAATGGGGCAAAGTTTCCTAAGCATTGACCAAAACGAACGCACCACGCCAGCACATACCACGTGGCACTACTCGATTGGCTTGCAGCGGTGTGCCAAAATTCTAGACGAGAAGTTCGAGAAATCTGTCCATGACGTGGCAACTGTTGATGTAAATGAATAGACAATCGAACGACCCACCTGACCTCCAATAATATGCGAAATTCACTCCACCAGGACCACCACCTTCACTTTATTAATAAAGCTAAGAGAATAAAATAAAAGTGAAGAGGAGAGGAGAAGAGAAGAGAAAAGAGAGTCTCTCAACCAAAAACTTCTTGTAAGTCACGAATCTCTCTACGGTTTTTGGTGTAATATCTTGATGAATTTGTTGTTAGTAGGTGCCGATGAGTAACAACCACTTCCACTTTTTCTTTTGTTGGACTGAATTTAACTGATGAATTCTTTTTTGAATGGGTTTTTTGTTTTTGATACTTGTTTGATCAGTTGATGCGTTCAGTCAATCATCATCTCTGTATCCAATTTTGCTTGTTTCCATCTCTTTATGGTTTGATTTCGATAACTCACGAGTGGGAATTTTTAATCTTTGCTTGAGTTGTGCAGCTTTTCAAATGAGATTTTGTACTAGTTTATATTTTCGTTTTACGGGCTCCTCAGCTCTGATTCTGATGTATTTTAAAAGTGCTTCTAAATTCAAGTGTCCAATTATCCTCAATAACTCACGAATTTATAAGAATTTTTTTGTTAATAGAGGGATTTTAAAAGATTTGGATGATTTCAATGTTAAAATACACGTAACATAACAAACACTTTTGACCATTTTTAATGAAATTTTTATAAATTTTGTGGAAATCTATTCAAATTCAAGAAATTCATTAGAATTTATATCTTTTAAAATCTGCCAAAATTTAATTTGAGGACACCCCGAGCTAATATTATGGAATTACTGGCTCACTCTCTGGTTATTCTGAACTATAAAAGTGTAGTAATTTTAATTGTTAGAGAGTTTAAAAGAAAAGTCTAATGATCAGGAGACAAAAATAAAAGAAAGGCTTCACTGTCTTTAACGTTTTGATACAACCAGTCTAATCCTATAAGCCATGCCTGAATTTGAGTTCCCCGTGTCTCATGTGACAATCATGTATGTTAAGTGTCATTTTGGAAGAAAAGATTGCAGAATATCGTTTTAGACTTTGGTGATATTCTATGCCAAAGTATGTCTGCTAGAATATTATAAATTATATACAATAAACTCGTGTTTTTATTACAAAGCAGAATACCCTATTTATATGGCTATAAATAACTCAAAAAGGAAAGATCGTATAATAATCATACAATCAACTTATTTCTTCTTTACAATGTTTGTATATGTTCAATATCCTCCATCAGACTCGATATGGTGTAGTGACAATCAAATTGAATTTGAAAATTAAATTGATCTATTCAATTATTCTTCTCCCACGGATGAACGATTATACTTCAAAATTGCTTGCATGCCAACCAAGTCAAACAAAGAACTCAAAGATGGTAAGAAAGAAAAATCATCATCCACCCATTTAACCTAACCATCATCAAGACTTGAAGGAGACACCCACAAGTATAATGAACAAAGACAAAACAAAAACCTCAAACGGTTTGAATAACTAGAAAGGTCAAGGATAGACCATGTTCAATAGTAGCACTTCGAAAATTCATGTGTAATATCAGTACTGACACATGAAGGACAGACGGATGAAATAGGAACCTTAGCACGCGAGGAGGCTAAAACAATAGATGTGATGAAAATAAATTTGATGAAAAAATAACATGATTTTCTTCAAAATAATTCTAGCGTCAATAGATCTAATGAAGTTTCAAAACAAATTTTCAATTTCCTTGGAAACCCACTCTCTCCAAGAAGAAAGAACAAAGAATAGCCAACATCTAACTTGATTTCTATTATTCTAAAATTCAAATTCAAATAAAATTATGAATAAAAGAAGGCTTGGCTGGACAGAATATAAAAGAAAAGAAAAAAAATTTGACAAGACGAAGATATCTAATCAAAACAAAAAAACTTGACCAGACGAGTAGCACGAGGCTAGGGCTGTTTTTGCATAGAGGCGAATAAGGCCTCTGCCTCAGGCCTAAAATTAGAGGGGGCATCATATTTTAGCCCTTTTCATTCTTTTTATTTTTTTTTTATTTTTTTTTTTTGGGTAATTAGTTCCACTATGATTATCTTTATTAAAAATTTGATAAATTAGGCCGATTCCATTTATAAATAAGGTCCAATAGTGTTTTCTCATTATGGGAATTTCATTTTTAAATTCGGCCCATTTCAAATGCATCAGAATGGGACAAGCGACTTGGAATTTCTCAAACTCATGTTGCAAAGATTTCTTATTTCTACCCAACTTGATCATTAGATGTTTAGTATTTGATTTATTTGTTTAAAATAAGAACAAAGAATAAGTCGAGTCTTTAGCAATATATGAACTTTAGAATTTTGAGTTATTGCTTGGCATGGTAATCTGATATAGGTTGTTACATGTAGTCAATATTATGAATAAATTTCTTCAAATAAAAAATGTGGATATTGGTAGTTTTATCGACCTCTTACAAGGAATTGTTTCATTTTTCAAAAATTATAGAAAAATTGAATTTGCTATTGTCATGAATAAACGATAAAAATGGTAGTAATATGAAACTGAAGTTGTATTTCGAGAAAAATAACATATAATTTGAAGAAAGAAGCAATTTGACGAAAATATTAGTGACGAAGTAAATCAATCAGCAGAAGAATCCTTTAGAATTGATACTTCCTTTTTATAATTAATCAAGCTCTATCTTCTCTAAAGTTTGAATTGAAAAATTTAAACAATATGAAAAAATATTTGGATATTTGTTACATTTGGAGAGGTTAAGACATGTAACTTTTTTCGTTGAAGTCTTGTATGAATCTTGAGACGTGATACGTGTTGGCGTAAACAAAAGTACCGACACGATACGTTAATTAAATTCTTTAAAAATTTTCATTCATATAGCCCCTGTTTTGCCCCCATTAAATTAAATTTTATTTTTTCTTTCATATTTTTAATCACACAGTCTTTCATAAAATAATATTACATGTAAATCGAAAATTTTTCTTTTTTTTTTCAACCACTCATACTTCAAAAAAATACTATTCCACCCATTTTAATTTGAAAAAATTGGAGCCAAACGATGACAATGGTATAAATTTAGTTTTATACTTGTTATAAATTTTTTTGTTGAAATCACTTAAATTATGAGTACCTATTTATTATTTACTAATAATTTTGAGTTAAAAATATATAATATTTTTAATAAAGAATGAAAAATGTTTATGCTAGAGTATCTAAGTAGTGTCGGTGTTAACATGTGTTGGACATAGACACGCTATTTTAATTAAAGTGTCCGTTCTACAGAGATCTTGAGAAATGTTTGCAACATAATGGACATTCGGATATTATTGGAGATGATTTATGTTATGAATTACATGTCTTGAGGTGTTGTATATCAAGTGAAACAGCGAGAGCAATTGAAATATTACAATATTTAAAGAAATTCCGAATTCTTATATTACTTAAAAATTTTGTTAAACACACTTTGCCACCATATAGTTCTAATTTTTCAAGCCAAAAAGTCAAACTTTTTACTGTTATTTAACATGGCCAACTGTCATTTTTTATTTCTTCACTCATAGGCGAGACTCATTTTTCTCTCTAATAATCAAAAAATTAATTCTAAGAATCAGTAGCAAACAAACCCTTTATTTCTGATCAACTATATCACAAGAAAGATTGAATGAATTAACTATATTATTAATTGAGAAAGATATCGTTGAATATGTAGATTATTCAAATTTGATTAGTGTTTTTCCTCTAAAATCGCAAGAATAGTATTTAACCAATCGCTTGAAATATTGTCGACTTTGTTATTTGATTATCATATAAATATTTTGTATAATACATTTTATTTGTTGTTTTATTGTTAAGTTTTAAATTAACAAGTTAACTATTGACTCCATAATACACTTAGAGATTTTGCATGCATACAACAATTTTGGGGTCTAATTCATGTAATTCGTCTCAAGCCTCAAAAAATCACAGAACCGGCGCTACACAAGGATGCTCACGGGATAACGGAAGCTTGTAAATTTAACCCAAAAATGAAATTAAACCCACTCTAATACCATGTTAAAAAGTAGAAGACCCTATTTATAGGGCTATAAATAACTCTAAAAGAGTAATCACACCATCAACTTATTTCTTTATTATAATCTTTCCATATCCTCAACAGTGTCAACCTTCAACCCTTTTGTGGATGAATGTGATTCAAATTGTATATTGCAATTCCTGTAGCTAGTTTACATGTAGAGTTGGCTAATATTTAATTTTTTAATATTTAGCTGAATATGGCTGATAAAAGTGGAGGAGGAAGTGAAAGGAGTTCGGGGAAGTCTCATGTTGTCCTCAATGAAAGAATTCTTTCTTCAATGTCACGAAGATCCGTTGCTGCTCATCCATGGCATGACTTGGAAATTGGTGAAGTTCTTTCAGCCTTGTATATTGTTATAGTTTTCCCATTAATTTATTAGGAGTATCAGTATGACAACAATGCATGAAGTTTATAAGAATTACTTAATTAATCTTTGGACCCTGTAGCATCATCTTCGTGGAGATCTAAGACCGCTACTCAATTTATCTAATTCTCAGGATTTTTTTCTGACCCTTGTAGATTTTTTTCATGCAACCGATACTTGGTGTTATTTAATATGTGTAGAAACTAATAACTTCTGGATTTGCTATGTATTCAGGACCAGGAGCACCAGCAATTTTCAACTGTGTGAGTGTTTCTTCTGTTTAAGTGCTGGGTGCTCTTATAGAATGAGAAAACATTATTAATAGATAAATACACGTAATTCATTACTTTGATTAGAATGATGGTGCATGTGAATTGTTGGGTTGAATATCCAAATTGACATATTCCATCCATGTGACTGTAATTATTCACCCTCCACAGGGAAGTTTAATGGAACAAGGATCTTTTTCCCCCCTTTTTTATTAATGAAGACGTATCTAGGCCTACAGAAAATCAATCTCTTTATCATATTTTCTCACTTTGAGCCTTCCCTTTTGATTGATGAACAATCTTAATCCACTTTCTGCTGGCCATGATTTTGTTTTTTCACTGTTGCAGAAATGTGTTTCCCTCTAGTCACCTAGTCATAAATCTCATTATGCACTTATTGTTATCCCGTGCTTTGTTGATTTTGCTTATAACACTTCAAGAATGTGCTACAATATTGTAAACGAACCCGTTGTGGTGTATTGATTAAAATTTACGTGGCAGGTTGTTGAAATTGGAAAAGGCAGCAAAGTTAAGTATGAGCTTGACAAAACCAGTGGCCTTATCAAAGTGAGCAGTTTCTGTGTCTGTGTGTACCCTGACATTATGAAATCACTCAGTTATTGATAAAGATCTTTCTTTCAACTGCATCCTTCAGTTTTAACAAATATTTGTCAAGAAATAAATAGCATTTGGTGCAACAACAGTATGAAGCAAATCCATTCATCTATACTTCAAAATATGCTGCTTACACAACATGCTGATATGAAGCGTTCATGTTGTGTGTATTTCAAAATCAATTATGTTGGTTCTAGAGAATTTCATAGGACATTATTTGTTAGAATTTGGGCATGACTAGACTTCTTTGTTGAAGATAATTGAAAGCTCTAATTAAAGTGTACATTAAGAGGAATTCTATTTGGGATTCTATTGAAATCTTATTTGAAGTTTATTGGACAAATTCTAGTTGTTGTTTTATTTGGAAGCCTATTGAGAGTTGGAATTTGTGTTAGATTTAAAGATTATGATAAGAAAATTTTTGAGCATTCTATTTCATCTACAACTCTACTTTTAGGGCTTGGATTGTTCCCTATATATATATATATATATATATTTGGCTCTTCTCTAAAATTTAGTTGCGTTGTTTAACCTCGTTACAAGTTAGGCAAATCATAGACACAAAATCTTTGTATTCTTTCTTCATATTATAATAAAATCTCAATCTTCTACAAATTATTTTCTTCTTGTGTTCTTGTGATTTTTACTTCATATAATTGTCTTAATTTCTTATCTTTTCAGAATAAATTGGTATTGGTACTGTTCCGCTTTCAATAAAGTTGTTTCAAATCTGGTCCGATTCATAACATTATTTTATTTACTTCTTTGAAATGTGATTTAGTTTCACAGAACTGCCATGAAGTAACATGACCACTGCATCTGCTTCTCGATATTCACATCCATGCTTTCAACTTTCCAGTAGAAAAAACTTTTCCTTGGTTTTTCTTGAATACATTCACATCTTATGTCTAGATTTTAGATTGTGTTCTCCATCTGCGATGTTAAATTGAGTAACTGAATGAAATATCTTCTGTATAGGTCAATAGAGTTCTGTACTCATCAGTCGTCTATCCACACAACTATGGTTTCATTCCACGAACAATTTGTGAAGACAGTGACCCCATGGATGTTCTGATCCTGATGCAGGTTACTTTAAAGTTATAAAAATTTCCTCTTTTAAGTGTTATTCTGGGGTTGCAGTTTGGAAATTACAATAATAGCGCTTACAATTTGATTCTTTCAGGAACCTGTACTATCTGGTACTTATCTCCGTGCACGTGCTATTGGATTGATGCCCATGATAGATCAGGTAAATGCCTCAATTTGTGTAACTTATTTACTAAGCATGTTTTGCTAAGCAGATTAAAAAAATATGACTATAGTTTTGAATAGTTTTGAACTTTTAGTTACTTTTACTTCTTTGAGCAAAAAGAAAGTTACTTAACATTAACTTCTAAGATTAGACGTGTTTAGCTAAGTTTATTAGTTACTTTTAATACTTTTACTTCTTTTTTTAAGCTTAGCTAAACATGCTAGATCTTCATAAATGAAGTGTCTTTCGGTCCCCATACCACCTTATAAGCCAAAGTCTAAGGATTCTATCCTCAATATTACTTACTATTGGAGAACTCAGTTCAATTGTAGTTCCCAATTTCAGTACTGACTATCACAAAAATAATACCTTTTGAAGAGAACTTAGGAGGATAACGCTAATTTTTCAGCAGAAGAGATAGCAAGATCACTGGCTTTTCTATATTTCTTATATCTAATACTTTAAAATCAGTAGTTGACCTTCAGAATTTCCTAGGATATTCATCCATGTAAAATTTCAACAGAGGTCATTTGGTTTATAAAACTAATTTTTCGCGAGTTTTCTATAGGGTGAAAGGGATGACAAAATAATTGCAGTGTGTGCTGATGACCCCGAGTTTCGGCATTACAAGGACATTAAGGAACTTCCTCCACACCGCCTTGCTGAAATTCGTCGCTTTTTTGAGGACTGTATCCATCAACATTTGCTTTACTTTTAATTGCACATTTATGCTATTCTGTTTGGAAAACTATGAATTTGTTGAAAACAAAAATTTCTGAGTTCAGATTACATTAGGTAAGGAAGGTCTCAAAAGGCAAAGATGTCACCTGATAAACCACAAAATCAGCGGGCCTCGCACCGAGAGTGAGAATATCACCGGAGCCCTGACGCCGTTCTCCCCTGTGGCCTCCAAACTTATATAAGGTCTTTGCATGAGTAGTTACATACTGGCAAATTTTTTGAAGGACCTTCAATGATGAAGGTCAAATGTGACTAATGAATTCTTTCGTCTAAAGCCTTCTTTTACACTAAAAGTCATTTTTATTTTTATCAAATTCGGCCTCCTTCTCCACAAAAACATTGCGATTCTACAATATCCAGCCAGGCACTTGATCCCTACCCCCTACGCCCCACCCTTTCTCGAACTGCATTGCACCGCCTCCCCTGCACCAATGTCCCTCCTGCCTCCATCGTTATGTCCCCTCCTTTTTAGTTTCACTTGGGACCTCAGGACTCTCCCTAGCTGGTTTCCATCGAGTAGGAACTAGGAGAGTTCCTATGGTCCTGAGTAAGAACATAAATTACTTAAAGAGGATAGGAGAAGGCGAATATGAGGGAGAGGGAGAAGAGTGGGGGACGGAGGTGGAGTGAAGGAAAAAGAAGTTGCGGGTATACTTGTAATATCATTGAAAGAAGGCTAGTTTACATCATTTTGAAAGGTAACGCTTTCATTTCTCCCCAACTTTGTCCTTAAACAATTTCCTCCATTCAGCCTTCTGATAATATCTGGATCCGGCTACAACGTATCATCCATGTAAGTATTCTGTTTGTGTTTGATCTACATCCTTTACTTATTCTGAATAGACAAAAAGAACGAGAACAAGTCGGTTGTTGTGGAAGACTTTCTGCCTCCTGAAGCAGCAATCGACGCTATCAAATACTCCATGTGAGTCAGTTACCTGAAATTCTTAGATATAGTAATTATCATAGATATGTAGGCAACTCTTAAGCATTTTTCCTCGTGGCTGTATGGCTGTGACTGCAGGGATCTGTATGCTGCCTACATAGTGGATGGCTTGAGGCATTGATTCACTTCATGTTCTTCCAAGTGTGTAGATTTTTGGTAAAAAGGCTCTATCAGAACCAATTTACAAATTCCATTTGGAATTTTCTTGTGCTTGAAAACTATGCCTTGCTATTCTGTGAAAAATGGAAAACAACCTAAGGTTTAAAGGTTTTATTGAAAATAAGCCGGTGATACTGTTAAGTTGTCTTTATGCCGGAAAATCCATATTACTATTAGAATATTATTAATGAAAATAATGTAAAATCAGAGGGTAAGCATTTATCACTGTAGCATGTTCTATTTATTTAGTTGTGTAGTTGCTTTGTTTGTTCAATTTCGCTATTTGTACATCCCGGGTTGACACCTCGGATGTACAAATAGCAAAGCTCTTGTTTCTTTCGTATACAACAAACTTTCATAATCACTTTAAGGTAGAATCAGACATTTTTCATTTCGAGGCCAAAAAGTTGTAATTTAAAAAATAAATAAGTAAAAACGGCAAGACTGATAGTGAGTTGAGACTTGAGATGAGAATAGATGTGGATTAATGGTTAAATATTTGTGACTGACGATGTCTTTGGTGAGTCTGGTAGTGATAAGACGTTGGATTTTGATGGAATTGACGAAAGCTACATATTGGGGAGGAAAGAAAATAATTTGGTGATTTTATATTTGGATTTTTTAAGGAAAAGTTGTGCACAGTGTTCAAAAGAGGAAATGAATAAAATGTTGAAAATCAGAAATTCTAAACACGACGCCAAGCTATGTGCAGATTCATTTGTCTTCCTTTATGAACAATTCAACGGTTCTCGAAAGGATAATGATTATACTGCCGATATCTTCTGTCTTCAAGCCAGTTTATTCTTTGAAAGAGTAAACATATTATTATGAATATTGATAAGTTTATTATATTAACTAATTTGATTTTACATAATCGCATTATCTCATTGATTAATTTAAAGAAACCCTTTTCTGACTTGACTTTGGTTTCTTGTGAACTAGAAATTAATTAAAAAAAAAAAAAAAGATTTCTTGAATGTTTCAAATATGAATCATTAGCCTCCACCATTGACCGATTGAACATAAGAACAAATAAGGTTTTTGTATTAAAAAGATTGGTTGGTAGTTGTAAATTGTAGCTACGAAGTTGCCTTCATGACTGATAAATAACTACAAGTGACGAAGATATACAATTTAAATAACGGAAAATCCAGTACTTTAAAATAGTATCGAGAATGATTGGAAAAGTGGAAATAAGATCAGATATAATTTGATCACTATGAACAAATTCAAAATCTTTGTAGACAGAGCCAATCATTAGTTCCCAATCGTGTGGTGAATGGAATTCGATACACAAATCCGTTAATAAAAGAATTGAAAAAGCTTTTATTGTGTCGCTTACATTATATAAGAATTCCTGAGTCCAAGAGTTAATAATAACAAGTTCTTCATTGCCAAAATACGTGCTACATGATACATACTCTTGTCATTTTATTTGATTATAATCAATAAAGTTTTATAAATGAATATTTCATTTTTATTTTTTTTTGATAAACTAATTTTTGTACAATGTTATATTAACTTATTATTATTTAAAGACATGCTCCACATCCATTCTCGTGTTTAATCAACACACAAATTTTCGAGTACTTTGAGTAACTTATTATTAGTGAGAAGTAGTGCAATGTCCATGTGCTCGTTTAATAGTAATTTATGATTTGTAATAACAGTCTAGGCACACAAAATACTAAGTTTTTATAATTATAAGGATTGATTTTGAAATATTTATGAATTTTATCCTACTTTTTTAAATATCTGTAACGTCCTAGTTTTTATATATTAATAAGCCTTTGTTTGAGCCCATTATTTCGTTAAATAGAATAGTAAATTGATGAAAAATAAAAGATGTGCGGTTAAAATATAAGAAAAAAATTTAAATTTGTATTTAATATTATTTTATTAAAAAATATGCGAATAAAAAAAAAGAAATATATTTTTTATATCACCAAAATCAAACAAGGCTAAATGTTCTAGACATTGAATTATTATTTTTATTATAATAATGCCAGTTTATTTGGTACGCAACCTCTCACCCTGAGGAAAAGTTGGATTTTGCACTAAAAAGTCAACTTGCTTTTATTGACATAGCACCAAGCTACGTGGATTATAAATTATAAAGTTCGAAGCGAAACAAACTTTACAAAGTCACGTGTTTTGAATTATGTGTTTAATAATTTGATCATTGTGTATCGCATAAATTTTTAGAATATTCGTAATTCATTCAATCCAATCGGATACGAGATTCAATCTGTTCAGAGAAGTCGGCCATTTCGAGTCGAATCAGTTCAACTCGTGGCTTTTAGTCCTAATTTCGAACTTTATTTTCAAATAAAAGTAATGAATATATAATATACATTTACATCACCATTTGACTATAGCACTCAATAATAAATATATAGCTTCACCTCCTACAAATTCCTTCAATAAATTCAAGCACTGCAACTACAAACCAATCCCCAATATTGACTAAAATCCAATCTCTACTCGCCATGTTTAGGGCTCTGAGTACACGTAAAGGCCGCCAGGGCTACGAACAATTAACCGATGAGACGGAGCCCGTTAAAGATCCTTTGGGGCCTAAACTGAGCAAATCCAGAACCTTGCCGGCTAAATTTTTCAATTCATCGCCGAAAAACTTGACTCCTGTGGCTGCGGAGCAGGCTAAAAAGGTCAGCAAAATTCATCCCTTTTTCAGTATTTTTGTCGACTCCCGCCGGCGAAGGAAGAAGGCAACTGCAAAGCCGGAATTCTCAAGGTATGTGGAGTATCTGAAGGAGGGAGGTATGTACGGGATGATGAACGTCAAAGCAAGCAGCCAAAATAAATGAAGATTTTAGCTTAATTTCTACATTATTATGGTCTAATTTACTTACCGAACAGGCCACAAGTGTATGTAGATTGTAGCATGCTTAGAAATGATAAGACTTCGATATATAAATTATGCAGATTGGGAAGAAGGAAGGCTGCCTTCTTCATATTTTATGTGCAGATTCCTTTGTCACTTCTTTAACGATGCTTATTATTTTGTATCTCTTGTTTGCAAGAGAAGGAGATTTGTATATTTATTTATGTTTTTACTTATTTAAACATGAGATAAATAACTTTTCGCTAATATTATTATTATTTTTTTGTTAATAACTTTCACCCTTATCCTCCGACGAGACTCTACCTGAATTACTGATTTGACAAGAGTTTCCTCTTACTGTTTGAGCTGGATCTTTGTCTTCACCTGCATAAACGGGGACGAAATTTTTCATTTTTATTTTGTTAGTTTACGTAGGTTGTCGTGTTGGAACAAGAGAAATGACAGCATGGCATATAAATCTTTGTTGGGTATTTGGCAAATATGGTCGAAAACATTATCTCAGTTCTACTTTTAAATTTCAATTTAGAAAAATCAAGTATATTTATTTTTATATCAAAAATCAGGTATACCGTATATTCATTATTTACCCCACCCACATATCTCCCCCTCCATTTCTCCACAAAAATCGTATCTGTATGCACATGGTCATTGAATTCTGGACAAAACAAACTCCAGCCACCACCAATGTTCGTCACGTCACCGCCTCCAGAGTGTTAGGGGTGCGCGCACGCGCGAGAGAGAGAGATCTATGCAATCTAAGAAAAGGAATTTGAAATGGTTTAGAAACAAAATCGGAGTTGAATTTTCTAAATGTTATTATGATCATTATGGGCTAGTTTGGTAAACTGCGTCGTTCTTAAAATTTAAGCCACATCATTGCCGGCCTTTTTCTCTTCCTCCTTTATTATTCTTTTCAGTTGATTTTTAATTGGGAGATGCTATTCAGGGTGTACAAATATCATTTTTCTTTCTAATTTTCCCATTTTCTATGTGATAGAAAGAGGATGGGGTGGCATGGGATGGTGTCGGAAGCTTCTTGTGTGATAAAAGGGGTTAGGAATGTCAATTGGACTTGTTGGCTCGGATCACTCATGGCTCGACTCGAAAAAAGTCCTAACCGGCCTGTATGACTCGTCGGCTCGAACCTTATTTAAAAAAAAAAAAAAAAAAAAAAAAAAAAAAAAAAAAAAAAAAAAAAAAAAAAAAAAAAAAAAGAAAAATAAAAAAGCAGCAAGCTGTCACGGACTTGCTAATTTCCTTCGAGAACCGTGCGGCCTTAGTGTCTTCAACTTCCGCCCCCGCGGTTATTACACTAAGTCAGCCTCCCGATTGGCGTTGATGTTTTAGAAAGGGACTAAGTAGAACACTTTAAGAAAGGGACAAAGAAGGAACACAAGAGCTTACAAAGAATGCTTTGTATTGAAATAAGGAATGCTCTTTACAACTTCACTCTCTTGATCCTTCAAATGAATCCTACCAAGCTATTTATAGTGGTAGCCTCCTCAAATGGATGGCTAGGATCTTTTCTATCCGACGGTCTAGATTACACATCTAGAATTATCTATACAAATATTTACATTAAAAATATCTATGGACTAACCTAGGATGATCTAGAATAATCTACCAAGTGAGGGGCTTGTTGTTTTCTAGAATGTCCCACCATATTCTAGCAATCTTCATGCACTTGTGGGAGTCTAGAATATTCCGGTTAGCCCCAACTTGTCAACATTTTAAATTTCTCGATCTTCTTGTGCCAAGATCGAGCGGGTCGTGACAAAGCGCTACCTAATTAAGGCAACAAGCTACTGCCTTAAAAATGAGGCAACGTTTGCTACCTTATTTTAATAAAGGTAGTAGCAGTGCCAATATAATTTTAAAAGAGAGAGAGAATTGAGCCGGTTATGGCTCGGCTCGGCTCGGCTCGCTAAGGTTCGACCCGAAAGCTCGGGTCGAGTCTTTTTTTTTTTTGTTAAGCTTTTGCTCGATTCAGGCTCGAAAAAAGCCCATTTGATTTTACTCGAATCTTGAGTTTCGACTCACTGGCCGGCTCAACTCGGTGGGATTTGGTTAAATTATATTTTTTACTAATGAATGATTTGTGACTTGGTCCCTTAGATCCATTCTACAAAAATCATTTGTTTTTCACTAATTTTAATCACGTATTCTTCTAATAAAATAATTTTACACATAAATTTAAAAAAATTTCCTACTTAATCAACCATTTTGGAAAAAATAAAAAAAATAAAAAAATACTATTATAAAACATATTTTTCTCAAATAATGGAGCTCGAACACATTTATTTGTGATACTACTAAATTGTGTGAAATGCGAATATGAACTTAGTGATTGATGACTTAATATCTGATTGTAGTTCATAAGTTGTGCGGCACGTGATTGTGACCAGATTAATTTTTAATTTATAGATTAAAATATATATCAAATTTCATAATTGTGACCACATGATTTTTGAAAATTTTTCGTAAGTTCATTAATTTTGAAATTGTATTCCTTGAACATTTGTAGTTATGAAATTTATCCTTTTTTATCATGGACGTTAGCCATGTATTCTGTTGGCTAATTGGTCCCTCTATGTTAAAAAGACCACTATGCCCTTAGTTTTAGTTGGAAAAAATTGCATCTCCGTCCCCAAAAATAAAAATTAAATAGATGGATTTCGAATTTTTTTTTAATAGATTTTAGTGTATTAAATATTTCACTATATTCGTATCATTTGCGGGGGGGGGGGGGGGGGGTA